CCTGTAATGTCCTCCCCCCCCTCCCTCCCCTATAATCATCTCCTCACCTCCCCTGCCCTTCTGTAGCGTGGCCGAGCTGCTTTCCGGTCCGCGACCCGGCGGGGCTGATAGGAAGTGCACACTGAGTGTGCACTTCCTTTGAGTCCCGCCGGGTCGCGGACCGGAAAGGAGCTCGGCCACGCTACAGTGCCGGGGAGGTGAGGCACTGCGGCAGCCGCCTGAGCGCTCTCTATAGAGCGCTCAGGCGGCTGCAGAATTTAAAGGGCCGGCGATGGGGGCGCAGGGCGCCCCCTCCTATATGGCGCCCTAGGCGGCTGCCTAGTTCGCCTTATAGGAAGCGCCGGCCCTGGTTACTAGCAATCATTTCCTCACTTCCCAGTACTCTCCATACCTCCACACATATGCAAACATTACAATAATAGGGATAGGTTCCTCGCTAGCACAACTCCTCCTCAACTGATGGACCACCAAATAAACATAGGGGTTTGTGGAGCTATTGATACCCCCCGAGCTGGCCTGGGGCCCGAAGACAACGACTGGTTAAGAATAAAATGCAACCACAAACTGTGTGAGCGCCCTTTTTTTTTCTCATATATCTTTTTTATTGGTTTTGGGTAGTACTCCAGTGCATAATACATTTGCTGATGCAGCAGCACATTGACCAAGTACAGCATCACCGGTTTGCAACATACTTCATACATTCTAACACGTACACTATGACACGTACATTAATACAGCGCTGACTTTTGCTTTACTTCGGCGTCGAGTTATACTGTTGCTTATGTGACAGCTTGTTTTAAACATTTTCGGCATGGAACATTGGTCACCTGTGCTCTCTAAGTTGGTGAGCATATGTGACTTATATTTCACGTCATGCAACCGGGTATAGAAAGAAAAAAAGGTTAAGGGAAGGGTAACATTCAACTTTAACTGCAACCTGTGTACCTACTTGACCCGGGCTTTGCATGTTGTGCACACGGCTTTGGTTCCGCTACAGGACCTCTTGGTCACCATGACTCACGGTCCTCCCCCCCACCCCCGATCCAATCACCTTGAACTTAGAACGCTTTTATTTAGTATCTTATTCTTCTGTTCCGTCCTTCACTCGGACGCTTAGCCAGCCGCCCCAATGGATACTGTGTTTCTCAGGTGTTCCCTGCAGTTTAGAACAAAGAAGAGTATATATATATTCAAATATCACCACTTAGTGAATAATATATATAAGTGAGAAATATACTTATCTTAGTATTCAAATAAAACAGCCTCCCAGGTCATTACCCAGAATGAATGACCTTTACACAGCAAAATATAGAACAACCAGAAATATTTGGGATACGGCTGAGAAATCTAAAATTGAAAAATATAAATATACATAGTGTAAATCTGTATTAAATAATAAGTAAGTATTCATGAAATGCACTCACAAGATTAGACGAAAAATATCGCTCTATGGTGCCTCCCCCGGTAGTAATGGGGGGCTACTATCCTCCTCCAGTTGCTCCAGAAGAATAGATGAAAAAACAGGACTCCCAGGATGGTGAGAAAAATAAATAAAGCGGCTTTATTAAGGATGAGACATCACCCAGCAATAAATATATAATATAAGCTTAAAATGAGGTCCTACGCGTTTCGTTCACAATGTGGAACTTCCTCAGGGACCAAAAATTAAAATCAAATGTTATACAGCAATAACAAAACATAAAATGCAGCTGCTTATATTATATATTTATTGCTGGGTGATGTCTCATCCTTAATAAAGCCGCTTTATTTATTTTTCTCACCATCCTGGGAGTCCTGTTTTTTCATCTATTCTTCTGGAGCAACTGGAGGAGGATAATAGCCCCCCATTACTACCGGGGGAGGCACCATAGAGCAATATTTTTTGTCTAATCTTGTGAGTGCATTTCATGAATACTTACTTATTATTTAATACAGATTTACACTATGTATATTTATATTTTTCAATTTTAGATTTCTCAGCCGTATCCCAAATATTTCTGGTTGTTCTATAGTTCCCTGCAGTTTGTATGCTATCTGCTCATAAAGGCATATGCTATCCACCCTTTTTGCTACCTCCTCTAGTGTTGGAGGCGTTTGGTTTTTCCACTATGAGGCTATCGCAATTTTGGCTGTGGTTAATATGTTTAAGGCAGTTGTGGTTGATGGGTGTCTCGTTGGGTTGCTTGCGGGGAGCACATGAAACAAGTAGTGTGCAGGATTCAGTGGTATTGTCATGCTAGTGGCTTCGTGTATGAGCTTTTGGACAGAAGTCCAGAACGTAGTTATGATTGGGCATTCCCAAAATATGTGTAGCAGCGACCCTGGTGTGCGTTTGCACCTCCAGCATAACGGGGAGGTGTTGGGAAACATCCTAGACAGTCTTGGGGGGACTAAATACCAGCGCATTGCAATTTTGCAATATGCTTCCCATAGGGACAAGCTCTTAGATGCTCGTTTAGTGATATGAAAAGCTTCATGCCATTGTATAGTGAGTGATTTCCCTATGTCTTCTTCCCATTTCTCCATATAGGGGAGTTTGTGCGCGGACTTCCCTCTTTCTAGTGCATTATAGCATAGGGCTAGAGGTTTGATTGAGCGGGATGTCAAAATGTACCAGGCAGGAGGTGTTTCTAGTTGTTGTGTGGGTGCTGCTGATTTGGTGCGTGTTTGTAGTATGTTCTTGACCCTCAGGCAGTGGCGTACACATGACCCATGGGGCCCCGGTGCGAAAATTGATCCGTGGGCCCCCCCCCCCGCGCAGGCCGGGCCGCAACACATGGCGGTGGGCACCTGGTCGCAGGGGTTACAGGGCTGCGACCGCGGTATGTACGCCAGTGCATGCAGATGCACACACACTTAAAGGACCACTCTAGGCACCCAGACCACTACAGCTTAATGAAGTGGTCTGGGTGCCAGGTCGAGCTAGGGTTAACACATTTTTTCATAAACATAGCAGTTTCAGAGAAACTGCTGTGTTTATGAATGGGTTAAGCCTTCCCCTATTTCCTCTAGTGGCTGTCCCATTGACAGCCGCTAGAGGCGCTTGCGTGCTTCTCACTGTGATTTTCACAGTGAGAGCACGCCAGCGTCCATAGGAAAGCATTATGAATGCTTTCCTATGTGACCGGCTGAATGCGCGCACAGCTCTTGCCGCGCGTGCGCATACAGCCGACGGGGAGGAGAAGAGGAGGATCGGAGGAGGAGAGCTCTCCGCCCAGCGGTGGAAAAAGGTAAGTTTTACCCCTTTCCAGAGCCGGGCGGGAGGGGGTCCCTGAGGGTGGGGGCACCCTCAGGGCACTATAGTGCCAGGAAAACGAGTATGTTTTCCTGGCACTATAGTGGTCCTTTAAAGGACCACTACAGACACCCAGATCACATCAGCTCAATGAAGTTGTCTGGGTGTCAGGTCCCTCTAGTTTTAACCCTGCGGCTGAAAACATAGCAGTTTCAGAGAAACTGCTATGTTTCACTGAGGGTTAATCCTGCCTCTAGTGGCTGTCTCACGGACAGCCGCTAGAGGAACACACTGAACGTCCATAGGAAAGCATTGAGTAATGCTTTCCTATGGGCGGTTTGAATGCGTGCGCGGTCGCATTCGGAGCTGAGAGGCTGAGGGATCCTCAGCGCCAAGGGAGTCCGGCGCTGGAGAAAGGTAAGTGCTGAAGACACACACACTCTCACTTACAGACGCATACACACTAGCTAACAGACACACACATTTACTGACAGAGATACAGTCAGCGACAGACATACATACACACTCACTTACAAAACATACACTCTCATTGACAAACACACACTCACTAACAGACATCAAACAGACTCACTAACACACACACACTCAGTAAGACACACACAGTAACACACTCACTGACACTCACTAGCAGACACACACACTAACACACTAACACTCACACTAACACTCATTAGCAGACACACTCTAACACTCACTCTAACACTCACACTAACACTCACTCTAACACTCACTCTAACACTGACACACACTAACACTCACTCTAACACTCACACTAACACTCACACACACTAACACACACTAACACTCACTCTAACACTCACACACACTAACACTCACTCTAACACTCACACTAACACTCACACATGATTTTTTTTTTTTTTTAATATAATCCCCCCAGCCTCCTTACCTCTTGGAGTGCTGGGGGGGATTATTCCCTGGGGTCCAGTGGGGCTCCTGGGCGGGTGGCCGGTCGGGCAGGCAGGCGGCGCGCGCGAGGGAGCACTCAGTGCTTCCTCTTCAGCTCCCTCGCGCGCCGCGTAGGGATGCCGGCGCCGGAAGATGACGTCATCTTCCGGCTCCGGTATCAGTGCGGTGCGCGAGGGAGCTGAAGAGGAAGCATTGAGTGCTCCCTCGCGCGCCCGCCTGCCTGCCCGACCGGCCGCCCGGGGTCAGCAGGGCCAGCCTCAGGGGGGCCCTGGGGTGGTCGGCTCCTGGGCCCCCCAGGGGAAGAGGCTGGCCCTGTGGCTACATACCTGGTATGTACGCCAGTGCCCTCAGGTATTTGAATATGTCCCTTGAGTTTAAGGAGAATTCGCTTAGCAGGGTTGGGAATGCTTTCAGCCTGTTTTGGTCATATAAATCCTTTATTTTACGTATCCCTAAGGCTGACCATGTCTGGAGCGAGAGGTCAGGTGAACTAGCCTGCAATGCTGTGAGTGGTGCTTCCTTAAGTAGTGGTTGTGTGTCTATTACCTCTGAGGCCCATTGTCTCCAAGTGTTCAGTGTGGTTTTTGTGCACCATAGTGCGTCATTCCCTAAGTTTTTTGGTTCGTGTGTCCAGAGGGCATTGGACATAGTGGACGGGTGTATGCAGGCATTCTCGAGAGCTAACCATAAAGGGGTTTGTTCTGCGCCTGAAGAGCTAATTAATCATAGACCTTGTGCTAGTAGAGATGGGGGCCCTAAAGTAAAATAAGGGAAGGGCCTATTGTCCTCCCCCGGCCCCCACCCCTGAGCGGCAGGTGGGGGCCCTAAATAAAAATGAGGGGGGGACCTACTGTCCTCCCTCCCGGCCCCCACCCCTGCGTGGTGGGTGGGGGCCCTAAATAACAATGAGGGGGGTGGGACCTACTGTCCTCCCCACCAGCCCCCACTCCTGCATGGTGGGTGGGGGGCCTACTTAGATTCAAAGTCCCCCAGTCAGAGTGTTATGAGTCAAATTACACAGCGTGGGAAAATTCCAAAGAACTTTCCCACCTGTGTAAAATGGCAAAGAGCACTCTGATTGCCTTAAACCAACCAATCAGAGTGTTCTTAGCCTAATTGCAGGGCTGGGAAAGGCTTTATATGCCTTTCTCTCTCCTTTCCCCCCCCCACCCCGCAGAGCTCAGTCTGCGTGGAGCCGTCAGGTTTTTTTCTTTTTCGTCAGGTTTTTTTTTTTGCGCTCTGATTTTTTATTTTATTTTAAGTTCGACAGGTATTATGGTTTTTTATTAGGCGCAGGGTTGGGGGCCGGGGGGGAGGACAGTAGATCCCCCTCATTCTTATTTAGGGCCCCCACCCACCGCTCAGGGGTGGGGCCGGGGGGGAGGACACGAGGTCCCCCCCTCATTGTTATGTAGGGCCCCCACCCGCCCCCCAAGGGTGGGGGCCGGGGGGAGGACAGTAGCCTCCTCATTCTTATTTAGGGCCCTCACCCGCCGCTCAAGGTGGGGGCCAGGGGGAGGACAGTAGGTCCCCCCCCTCATTGTTATGTAGTACACCCACCCACCCCGCAGGGGTGGGGGCCAGGGGGAGGACAGTAGGTCCCCCCCCTCATTGTTATTTAGGGCCCTGACCCACTGCGCAGGGGTGGGGGCCAGGGGGAGGACAGTAGGTCCCACCCCCCTCATTGTTATTTAGGGCCCCCACCCACCGCTCAAGGGTGGGGGCCGCCCGGGAACCTCCACATCCATTTAACTTGGGGCCCCCAAATTCCTTCAAACGGCCCTGGTTATACCTGTACCTGTTTCAACCCCCTCTTGTTATTGTAGTAGCACCAATGCTTAATTATTCCCATTACACCAGTACTCATGTCCACCAAAGGTACTCAGAGATGCTCAAAAGGTCAAATTTAATTTTCATTGACTTCGTTAAGAAAACCTGCAAAAATTTTTAACAGGGTTATTCATTAAAGGGAGAATTTAAAGTGAATTTCAAATTTAAGACCAAAGAGGCCAAACTGGAAGTACCATGAATTTGAAAATCACTTTAAATCCTTCCATTAGTAAATATCCCTGTAAAAAAAAAATCACATTCAAAACCTGTTACACATACACGTATACATCAGTTGCAATCTCCCAATAACGACATTGTAAACTCTCAACAGCGAGGTCACCAGTGACTTTTGTACCAATATATACATTTGTGTCATATTTCATGTTTCACTCTATCAGCAAATTTATAATTCTAGTTTATAGAGTTTGTGAACCAAAAAAACAACAAAACACAGATTTAACATGCCTAAGAATAATATAGGAATTCCATATACTATATATAAACTGTTTAAGTAATGCTTTATAAACTTTGTAAGTAATACTTTAAAGGAACAATATAGGGCTAGGAATACAAATGTATTTTACTAGCGCTAAAGTGCCCAAGTCACCATTTAGGTGAACGGGCCCCTCCTGAAAAAATTATAAAGGTGAGTTTACTTACCTTGCAGCAGTGGTCTCCAGCATGCTGCTCCACCTTTTTGACTGATATCATTGCAATCGATGATCTCAGCCAATCCAATGCATTCCCATTGCCTCCCATACGAAAGCATTGGGAGGCAAGTGCGCATGCACAGCAAAACTCTGTACTGCACCAATCGGATGGTCTGTCCGAGACCATCTGAAAAAATAGCTGAATTTTTCTCTGGTATTTTATCCGAAGCACCTACATTGTCTGTCTAAGTGACAGCCACTAGAGTCATTTAAACCCTGCAATGAGCATAGACACAGTACCTTCCAAAGCAGACACTCCAGGTGTAAACATTTGTAGTGTGAAAGTAGTGTCAGGAGGTAAATTCCCCAAATGCAGCGACTTGGGCCCTGGAATCTCTAGTAAGCCACACTCTACTTGTGCCTTGCTCACTGTCGTGGTTGTTGAGACTGCTGGGGAATGTGCTGTAATGGCAGTACTTTCCCCATAGATCTCTGTCGAGACTCAATCAGCCTGAAGGTGGTGCATTAAAAAGGGGGATCTGCAACACATCGCTGACGAAGCCCAAAGAAGGCTGAAACGATTGTCCAAGGTTGCTGTATCCCTAATGCAGAGAAAACAGGAATTTTGGTTCTGGATTGCCCTTATGGGTGGGATCAGTCTGATGTGCCTTGGAACTGGTTCTCTCTGCGCGCAATTCTTGTCGGAACAGGGTAGAGGTTACTGAAGATCCTCTGCCCCAGTACACAGCTCGGCCAACCTACACAGGAGTGACTGGATGGAGGGGAGTACTGTGCAGTGTGCTTCCCTCTTGCCGGTCAGCAGGATCTTGCGTCCATAGGTGTGTGTATGTGTGCATGTATTAGTGTGTTTGTGTCTGAGGCTGCAATGTGAGGGTGGTATTGTATGGGCAGTACAAAGGTAAAGTGGCAACATATAATATATATATATATAATATACATACATATACAATACAAGGAACAACACATTTATCTTTTTTGGATAACAAATATGTGAAAATATATAATAGAATATGTGGAGAAAATGTCTATGACACTGTATTCTTTTTTTTTCACCATGGCTGTTAGTGGGCCTCATGTTTAAGTTTCACCTAAGGCCTCACAAGGTGTAGAGCTGCCAGTGGTGCCGGAATAACCCTCTTAGCCGGAGGTGGGGTGGGAACAGGGTCATTCGAATGCTGCAGATTCTCAGAGGATGGAGGGCGAAAAGGTAATCTGCCTCTCCCAAACCCAAGCCCCCTGCTAGGCCCCTTACCCATCTCAAATGAGAAATGTCAAATACGCTCAGAGTTGGTGCCAAGTCGTATGATCAAGAAGACTGTCGGGTCACAGAAAGTCACTAGTAAGTACCTATAATTACCAATAAATAAGACTCAAAAAGTATGAAATACTGAATTCGGTACAGAGCTCATGCAAGATGCATCCATCCACTACGGCAGTCAAGCTCCGCCCCTGATATTAATAAAGTTCTTCATGGCTCTACAGTGCCAACAGGATGTACTTTGTGTACATATATTTATATGCAATTCATAAATCTTCACTGCTTATGTAAACAATACTGAGAGGTAGTTATGGCCAGGATTAAAAAAAATCTACCGTGTATGTACTTTGCTTATTTCATAACAATTCTACATCCTGATATATACATAATTCTGGTCCATGATCTGCCTTGCTGAAATGTTATATGTGTGAAGAGTATATCCTTAACAAAAAAAATCAGCACTTTGTTTGTTCCTGCTAGATAAGCTTAGTGGAGCAGAGCTCAAGAGGCAAGCGCTTGTCCAGTGCACTTGCCTCTTATATACCTTAACTATTTAAGTACAGTGCCATTGTTTTTTGTATTATTAATTTGGCTCTGGTGTCTAAAACGGATATAACTATGATGTTTACAAAAAAAAAAAGATAATTTTATAGATAAGTCTAATGACAATAATTATACCAGAATGCTAATCTGGCAAGAATCACTGTGTGCTGTTTCTGATGGTTTGGCAATTCTCGTGGGCATCACTAGACAGGTAAGTTTGAATTTTGCCAACAAAGAAAACTGGAATTCAACTTAACTGAGATAAATATAAAATGTACAGCCTCAGGGTACCTCTGTGAATATGCTGGAGGGCTCAGTGTTCTTGCTCCCAATGCTGATCGAATATCCAGTTTCTTCTGCTTTCCAAGATTATCTCCATTGAGATACAACATATACAAGTTTACAATATGTATTACTGTTATCTTTTAAAAAACAATGCTGCTGCATTTAGCTGCCACAACCAGAGAGAATATATAACCTTTTAAGTGTTTGGTTGGTAGGATATTGTTAGTATAAGCCTGAATTATGGGCTGAAAAGACATACATTAAATATATGCTAAGAGAAGCAGAAATTCTCCAATAACCAAGTAGCTAATAAAAGACGATTTCTTAGACGTTCCAGAAGGTTATAATCTGTAAATTAAATCTTGCTGCCTACACAAAATCTTTTTACATTTTTTTTTTTTTTGTCTCCAGAAATGCTAGAATTCGCTAGAAGGGCTAGAATTCAACAGGTAAATTCTTAATGTAAGCATTCTTTCTTGCTTCATAAATTAGATACAAGTATTTTAACTAATTCATCATATCTATACGTCATTGATTATTAAGCTCTTTCCAATATAAACCATGCTTCCTTTTAACCCCTTAAGGACCAAACTTCTGGAATAAAAGGGATTAATGACGTCACACATGTCATGTGTCCTTAAGGGGTTAAGATGGCTCAGGATAGCAATGGATTAATATAAGGTAGAATCACCATCTTCAAATCCTAAGCTGCCCAAACATTGTTTTAACTTTCACTCAATAACAAACCTTGATCAGCTAGAATGATTGATTTGTATTGCTCCAGCATGACATTGGAGTATACAGGTGAGGAGAGGGGGGGGTGATTTGACCATTGTGCAACATAGCTTTATAGAAGGTGGAAAACAGTTACGCCACTGAGGAGAGGTTTTCCCTATCTTTTTAACACATACTATGACAGTGTTTCTCCTCATATTAAGAAGTACACACGTACACATGGGGTAACTTACTTGGTTAAACTACTGTCCTCCATCTGCTTCTCAATTTTAACCTCACTATGACCTTGAAGGAAACGTGTTTAAATGCTAATGGCCTAAACAGGGCTGCTAAACAGTGATTGCACCTGAGGGAACTAAAACAACAGAACATTGATATAGCCCATACTGTGGCCACCCCTCAAACTAACCTTACAGCCGATAGCTGTGCATGCTACTTTAACGACAAGATTGAACAGCTAAGGAAATAATTCTCCCCACCATGCCTTTCTCTTTCTCAACCTCACGTAGATCATGCCTTTCCTACCCTTCAGACTTTCTTCCAGGGTACTGAACAAAAGGTGGCTGCGCTTCTCCTTTCCTCTCGCCCCACCACTTGCCCACTTGATCCTGTCCCATCTAACCTTATCAGATCTCTCTTCCCTTGTCTTGTACCTTCCTTAACTCACATCTTCACTTGCTCTCTCTCTTCTGGAATTGTCCCTGCTGACCTGAAACATGCCACTGTAGTACCTATCCTGAAAAAGACATCTCTTGACCCGTCCTCCCCCTCTAACTATCGTCCTATTTCCCTGCTCCCTTTTTCCTTAAAGCTTCTGGAAAGACTTGTCTTTACCTGTGTGTCTTACTTCCTCAATTCCAACTCTCTCCTAGACCCTCATCAATCTGGCTGCGGCCCCCTCCACTGAGACTGCTCCTATCAAAGTTACTAATGACCTAATCACAGCTAAATCCAAAGGCCACTGCTCCATACTAATTCTTCTTGACCTCTCTGCTGCCTTTGACACCGTTGATCATGCTCTCCTTCTTCAAACTCTTCAATCACTCGGTCTCTGTGACTCCGTCCTCACATGGTTTTCTTCTTATCTCTCCCAACGCTCATTCAGTGTCTCCCTTTCTAATGATACCTCCTCCCTTCGTCCTGTGTCGGTTGGAGTCCCCCTATGGTCTGTCCTTGGTCTCCTTCTATTTTATCTTTATACTGTCTCTCTTGGCAAACTTATTAGCACATTTGGATTCCAATGCCACCTGTACATTGATGACACCCAGATATATCTCTCCTCCCCGTACCTCTCTCCTGCTGTCCTGCAATGTGCCACTACTTGCCTTTCTTCCATCTCTGACTGGATGTCCTCCCAGTTTCTGAAACTCAATCTCTCTAAAACTGAGCTCCTTGTCTTTCCTCCTCCTAATACTGACCCTCCTCTTTAACTCTCCCTTCATGTTAGTGGTATCCACATAAATCCATCCTTGCAAGCATGCTGTCTTGGCGCTATACTTGATTCTGGCCTCACCTTTGAGCCTCACATCCAGCATGTTACCAAGACCTGTAGATTTCATCTTAAAAACATCCACCCCTTTCTTACCAAGATGCTCCTAAGGAGCTTGTCTATGCTCTAGTAATTTCCCACATGGATTATTGTAACCCTCTCCTAATTGGTCTTCCCAAAAACTGTATTGCCCCATTATAGTCTGTAATGAACGCTGCCGCCAGACTGATTTTCCTCTCTAGTTGGTCCTCTCACACCTTATACCTCTGTCAGTGATTACATTGGCTTCCTGTATACTATAGGAGTCAATTTAAAGTGCTAACCCATACCTATAAAGTATTGACCAATTCTAGCCCCTCCTATATCTCTTCACAGATCTATAGGTATGCCCCTTCTCGGTCTCTCCGCTCTGCCCGTGACTTTCTCCTGTCTGGTGCTCGCACGCGTACTTACGCTTTCAGGACATCTCGTGGGCAGCTCCCTTCCTATGGAATAGCCTGCCTATCGCCATCAGACTCTCCCCAGTCTTGCATCTTTTAAGAAGTGCCTTAAAACCCATCTCTTTAGGAAAACTTATGGCCTCCCAGAGTAACCTCTACCTCACTTACCTGTCTCTTGCTCTCTCCTAAAGGGCAGCACTCTACTCTCTCCTCCAGCTCTGCTTCACTCCCACCTTATTTGATTGCTATCTCCTATCTTACTGTGTTTTATACCCCAGCTCCTATAGTTTGTTTGAGCAGGGTCCTTTTCAATCTATCGTTCCTATAAGTTTTCTTGTAATTGTCCTATTTATAGTTAAATCCCCCCCCTCTTAAAATATTGTAAAGCGCTACAAAATATGTTGGTGCTATATAAATGGCAATATTAATAATACTAATAATATTTTGTTACATGAATTGTGTCTACTATAGATCTCTACAATTACCAGTGATTCTGAGGGCCAATACCTTATGCTTTATAGACAACAGTTTTTCATTTATTAAACATTTGCTCCCCTAATACACTAGTACCCGATTATTGGCTTTCTTAAGAACACTTGATTTACTCACTTCTTTATGGCATCATCATTTTTGGTGGTTATTTAATGCATTAACATGGGCTGTCGTATTATAGTATCTGTTGCCTCTTGCTTGCATGTTGGGATAGTACCTTGAGAAAAGGTAGGAAACAGGAAGGTGGCTAAAAATGTGTAAATTCTAACCAGTGTGTCTGTTATGTGTCATTGTGTGTATCTGTGTATCGGTAAGTGTATCAGTGTTTGTATCTGTGTGTCTGTCTATCTGCATGTGTATCACTGTTTGTATCTGTGGAGGATACTTATCGTGATGGCTCCCTGTCACTTTCTGCTCTTGAAGCTGGTGGAGAACATTTCAACCTCACAAAAACATTGTTCAATAAAGTCACTCGCGCAGCAGCTCACTCCCGGCTCTGGCCCATGGCAGGCAAGATTTTGGATGACATTTTACAGAAAATAAAAGACAGCTGTCTTATAGATAAGTTGACCACCAAAGTCCAAAACCTGATATCTTGCTTTCAGAAAATCTGGCAACCTGGGAAGAATGTCCATGACAGTAGTCTGGTGGGTTTTGATTCCAATACGATTAACTCTCCCAGCTCTTCTGTTTTCTTTTTTCTTTTTTTCCTTCAACTTCCTCTTCTGTATATTTCTATCTTAGCCTTCTCATTATTAAGTTGATTATTACTTTTTGAACTTGTAGTAGAAATGATGATACTGTTGTTATATACTTAGTTAAAAGGTTTGACTTTTTTTGTACTTTGTATGATATTTGCTTCATTTAAAATTAAAAAGAAATTGGGAAAAATTAAGTATTAAATTGTGTATTTGGGCATGGTTCACTCAGATGGCATGAGAAGTTTATTTTTATTTTTGTAAATCTCTTTTTATTGAAAGTTTGTCAAATTTTCCATAGTAAGTCATGCGAGAAGATAGGTGGAAACTTGCAGGTTTCCAGTGTGCTGTATAATAATTGGTAATACGAGATGCGCAGATCTCTAAAATAACAGTATAGAATGAGACACGTAGGTCTCTAAACAGCCTAGATGGCTAACCAATAACATGAAAACATAAAAACATTTATATTTTGATACAAAAGAACAGGTATGTTGCTTAGCAAGTCAGGTCTGTCTGTTTGCAGCCGCTGTGCGATCCCCTATTCGGGTCTGCAGTCGTATTCCGGTGTTAAAGTGATGTGAACAGTAAGGTATGGGCACCTTGGTCCTTCCTGTGTTGGTGTATTTGTCAGTGTTGTTGGGTCGAGACCGCGTCAACTTAGTTGTGGAGGGTACTGTCTTCTCTTCGCTTTGCGTGTTTCGTCTATCGTGTGGTGTACAGTCCTGCGTGGCGTAGATGGTTGCCTTGAGGTGGTCTTGTATCTGTGTCGGGGTTACTGGGATCAGGTCACCTATGTCTTCTCGTGTGCAGGCCTGTCGATCACCCCTGCATCGGGATTGTGAAATTGTGACGTGTGTTCTGTGGATTTTCGGGGCTCTAGTCATCCCTGGTCCTGTATGTGTTTCTTCGGAGGCTCGGTGGTGTTACCCCATGTCCTGGTTTTTGGGGCTCCTTTGGTCTTGTGGTGTGTGTGTTTTGCTATTTCTAATATTTTTTTTTTTTTGGTGCTGATGTGGTCTTGTTTCCTGGGAGCCCGGGTCTGACGGGAGCGGTACTGTTTGTCCAGGATTGGTTGTGTAGTGTGTGATGTTGGGACTGCGGGTCGTGGGTCACTCTAGTTGGTGATGTGACGTTTCTAGGCCTATGGGTGTGGGTCTTGTGGGTCTAGGTTGGTGTGTGTGTGTCTCCTTCATGGCTGTGTGCTTTTTTTTTGTTTTGCTTTTTTGTTGGGGGGGCACCTCTTTGATTTATTATGTTCTAGAGGTGTTGTGCGCTTACTCCTTTGTCACCCGTCTCCCCTAGTCTTCCTCGTGCGCGACCGTGGATCAAGTAGTAGCTCTTGGTCATGTCTTGTGGTCTTGTTGAGCTTAGTTCCCTGTCTCCGGTCGGTCGTGTGGCAGGTTTCCCTGTGATGGTCTCGTCATCTATCTAGTGTGTCCCCTATTGCCCCCCCCCGTATCCGCCGGGTCAGCGTGTGGGGTCGTGACAGCGACCCCCCGCCTCCCGGCGACGTGCCCCAGCCACGTCCCCCACCGCACCACATATTTTTCGCTTTGTCCCGCAAGGGACGCCCTCCCATTCTCTGCTGAGCGAATCTCCTCCACTCTATTGTACCATTGGGTTAGCGTTAGGGACTGTGTCTGTTTCCACATTACGGGTATGAGCGCCTTAGCTGCGTCCAGCAGGTGTCTCAATATGGATTTTTTGTATTGTGAGATTGGCCTTTTCGTCAAATGTAGTAAGTGTTGCTCTATATTGAGGGGGAATGGTTCCCGAAGGATCTCTGTGATTTTTGCGCTGATCTGGTTCAAGAATGGCTGTATAATTGGGGCGTGCCTCGATATCCCCGATTCCATTGAGGAGTTCCGCTATCTGTCGTTGGGCATCCTTTTTCTTCTTCGTTGCCAGTTGAATTATGTAGCATCTCAGGACGCATTTATGGGCTTCCCAGGTGGTAGTGGACGGGGTATCTCCATTTTCGTTGTGTGAGAAGTAATCATCCAAGGCTTCTGCGATTTTATCCCTAATTTCTACATCCTCCAACAGGGTGTCATTTAGCCTCCAGGTCATCACCCTCGGTCTTATCAGTGGGGAGTCCTGTTCCATTGTGACCGCCCCATGGTCAGACCACGTGGCAGCCTCGATGGTTACCCCTTGTAGTGCGGTGAGCTGTTCCTGCTAGAGAAACACGTAGTCAATCCTCGAGTATCTCGCGTGGACCCACGAGTAGTGTGTATAATCTTTTACCGTGGGATGTAGGACTCTCCAGCAATCCACCAACCTTTGGCATCTGAGGGCTCTCAGAGTACTTCGGATTTCTCTCTGTGGAATGCTACTTCGTCCTGTGGAGGTATCTAAGTGGGGGTCCAGGGGGACATTGAGATCACCACCTAGTATGAGGGTTCCCTCCGTGAAGTCAGCCAGTGTGCTCAGTGTTCTGCGAATGAACTGTGATTGGTTCCGGTTGGGGGCATATACACACGCTAGAGTGTAGGTTCTGTTTGTTATTGTGCCTTTCAGGAAGACGTAGCGTCCCTCCGGGTCTAAGATTTTATCCGTTTCCATGAAACCCAGCTTTGTGATGAGAAGTATTGCTACTCCTGCCTTCTTAGATGAGTGATGGTTGCTGAGGTACGTTTGTGAGTACCTTCTGTCCCTGATGGTCAGGGCGGAGTCTTCTCGGAAGTGAGTTTCCTGGAGGAGAGCTATTGAGATTCGCTTTTGTCGGAGTTCCCGCAGAAGGTGTGTCCTCCGCTCTGGGATATCCAATCCCCTGCAGTTATGGGTAAGTGTGCGGAGGGGTCAAGGGCGGTACAATGACCCCATGGGGGAGGAGGCTCGCGGTAGGCGCACGCCACGCGGGCGGCCTGGGGAGCCACTCTCCGCCATATATGCCGCGTCGTGGGCACAGCCCAGTGACGCCAGAGGGGGGGGGTGCGGGTGTCGTAAGCACCCTGTGTCACCCTCAGGTCTCGTGTGTTATGTTGTTAGTCATGAGTGTGTAGTAGTCGTGTTGTGTCGGTGGTCGATCCTGTCTAGATCGCCAACCTTGCTCCAGTAAGGTGATCTGTGTGACCGCAGAGACCCCATTCCGGAGGTGTCCCTGCCCGAGGCCCGCCAACTCACCACCGTAACTATTGTTCACACGGGTGGTGTGCGTGTCTCTCTGCCCTGTCGGCAGGTGATAGTGGTTCATGGTGTGTTGGGTGTGTTGTCCTCCTGTGGAGGTGTATTCCCGTGGGTAGAGTGAGTACTGTCTATAATGAAGGTCCTCCACCATGTGAAGTTGTGAATTTGTCGTAGCCTGCTCACATATGTGATCTGAACTTATCTATGGGTTCAGTAGTATTGTCCAGTATTCGTGTTCGGCCATGCTTTCAGCTAGCTTCCGCACCTCCACCCCTGTGCTCCGTGATCTATTTGTATCAGTGGTGTAAACCTCTTCTCCTTTCCTTTCTGCTTATCTGTGTGTGCTCTTCCCTTCCTGTCTCTTCTCCCTGTCACTAGTGTGACCGTCTTTCCTCGGGTGGCCAAGTGTCTGTGGGGGGGGGTATGTTCGGACTGCGTCCGTGTGTATCGGTTGTTCATAAGTTGTATGTCATTTGTGTGCGTTTGACTGTCCTTGCCTAGGAAGTTATCGAGGGCTTGGTGTTTTATTTTAATATTATGATCCTTATTTTTTTTTTTTGAGTGTGGGGGGAGTAGGGTTATACGGTGCGTGAGGGGACACGTTATGATATTGTGAAATTGGGGGGTATGTGCTCTAACTGATACCAGTCCTGAGGTGTGATTTGCAGATTATGGTCCTATGTGTTTCCAGGACTTGTAGTGTGACTGTTCGGTGTGTTGCCGTTGTGTCCTACTCGTTCACACTGACCATTTTGTGTTGAAAAGTTATTTTGTTTCCAGTCTGTGAATTCTAGTTCGTGGTGTTGCCTATGTGGAGCCTGGAGTGCTTTTCTAGGTTTTTGCTTGTGAGTGTGCCAACCGCCTGTCCTGACCCCACATGCCGTAGTAGTTAGGTCTTGCAGCGTAATGGCGTGTCCTCACATCTTTCATAGGGTGATCATCCCTGTATGATGCCTAATGGGGTCAGACATTTTGCTTTGAGTAGCCAAAAACACATTCATAGCATAAATTAAGTTGTCTCCCTGTCAGAGTATTTCACCTGAAACAATCAATGTGTTGATTCATTTAGGATAGATATCTAAACAGTCACGCTCTGCAATAGCCTATAATAGTGGAACTTTGACAACATGCATCAGCTTTAAACATTTTCTGGGACCTCTAGAATTATAAAACCATGCCTATAAATAACATCTGTGTTGTTATTTTCCCACCTCAGGGAGGAATACTGTAGAATGTAATACCTGGCATTTAATTTTGCCTCTTCATTCTGCCAGTTCAACCTGTTGTGGCTTGGGGTCACAGGCAGCGGCTGTCCGACAGGGACCTAGTGCTCCACGACAGAGGAGGAGCCTCAGGTCTGGGTTTGAAGTGTGATGTCCATGGTTTCCGGGTATGTTCTTTTATTTTTTATTATTATTATTATTATTTTTTTTTTAAATCCCCCCCTTGGTGCTCCCTTTTGCCCTCCCAAACGTGGTCAATTTCCCTCCTTTCGTGTAGTCCCACCCGTGAGTGTCTCTTTTTTTTGGGGGGGGGGGCGTGTTGCCCTTCTCCCCATTGTCTCCGTCTCTGTCCCCTCTTGCAACTTAGATCGATGGGTCAGGTTGCCCATGTCGGGTTGTGCATGCCATTAGGGCTCTGTAGCATGTGTGGCTGATGTCCCCCTTCCCCCATGGTCCCCTCGCCCAAGTGATGAGTGGGTATGGTGCCCATGCCTTTTGGGGTTTTACATGTCGGGGTGGGGGTCATGTGGCTTACCGAGGTTCAGAGTTCTTGGTTCCAGGTGAGGGTATCGGTCGGTGTGGCAGGCAGTTAGGACCGTGGCAAGGTTGTGCTCGCTGGGTTGGTGTCGGAAAGGTGTGTGGGCTGTGCGGAACGGGTCCTACCGGTGGTGTGGCGTGCGGCTACTCTTCAGGTTGGGCCAGATCCAGCCTCGAGCTGTGCTACTGTGATTCTCTGCCTCGGCGGCGTGGTGGTCTTTGTGGTTGTGGCCTGAGCTCCAGAGGGTGAAGGATCCAGTTCTGCACTGTGATGTTAGACAGTTCCAGTTTTTGCAGGAAGGTAGGTATGTCTTCTGGGCACCGGGCCAAAACCAATTCGTTGTGATGGCGGACATTTATGCTGAAGGGGTATCCCCATCTATAAGGGATGCTTCTGTCCCGTAATGCAGTAGTCACTGGTCTCAAGGTGCGTCTGGTGTCCAGGGTAAGTGGAGACAGGTCGTTGTAGAGGGTGACCTCCGCGCCTCTGTAAGTCCAGTGGGTGCGGGAGCGGGCCTTCAGCATTATTTGTTCCTTTAGCGTAAAGGAGTGAATGCAGCAGACTATGTCTCGCGGGGTGCCATCTGCCGTGTGCGGTCTGAGGGCTCTGTGGGCCCTGTCAAATCTGAAGTGGTCCAGTGCATATTCACGGAGGATAATGCGGAAGAGCTGGGTGACGGTTTCCATAATGTTTTCCCCTGAGCGTCCGCCTCCAGTACACCGCGTACCCGTATGTTGTTGCGGCGGCCCCTGTTGTCTAGATCTTTCAGGTGCTGCAGCATGGCTAGCAGTAGGTCTCCTTGTCTGTGAATTGCGGTATCTGTGGCCTTAAGTTGTTTCTCTGTGGTCTGCGCGCTGTTCCATGGCGGTTATGCGCGTGTCTTGGAGTGCTATGTCCGCTTTGATGCCTGCCACTTCTGTTTTCAGTGCCGCGTGCAGGTTATCAGAAGCCCGATTAAGGTCTTCTTTTGTGACCATCAGGGCTGTCATGCGCCTGAGAACTGAGAAGTTTATTTTAACAGTGTCACAACTTATCAACTTGTCTGTTGGGTGCCCACAGCCCCTGCATGAGAAACTGGTTAGCTCTAGTGGGCTAAGCAATACCATAAAGGACCATACTTGTTGGCTAAGATTATCACATGACCACTCTCAACCAATGAACGCGGTCATGCATCGTCTGTGCTTTTTTTTATAGAGCCATCCGCTGTCTTCTGCAGGAGAATACCTGATACAGAGTAGGCACTCAAGTTAGATGTCAAGCAATAGTAAAATGATTTGTCTACTTACCGTGGGATGGCACTAAGGCTCTCCTGTCACCATAACCACTATAGCAGACTGTAGTCCTCTTCACTTGGCCAACGCTGAATTTCTATGCGCTGTTCCTCTTCATTCGGCCAATGCTGTTAACATGCCGCTTCTTTGCATTCGGCCAACACCAAATGCTCCCACACACAAGGGGGCATGTGCACTGATGCTGGACATTTCTCTAACGTCAGTGCTGATGCCACATGCCACTGTGATGCTTTATTAATAATCACAGTGAAGCCTAAAAGTTAAGTGGGCAAACACAGAACACTAATAAACCTACAATTAGTTAATTATTGTTCCCCATCAGTTACTGCCTACCTGAGACTATATGAGCACTTCTCTGCCCTTACTTCCTTGCCCTGTCATGGTCTCGGTAGCTTGGTAATGTGTTCAAGTATTCAGCATGTTTTCTGATTTTGACCTGACTTCGTATTTTGACTACTCTTATCCTTGACCTTGCTAAGTGCTAAATGCAACTCTGCAAAGGTGGGAAAATGGTAGATTGCCAGCTGGAAAACCATTGTAGGAATTGTACGATGGATGATGAGCTACCTTTTGGCCACCCTAATGGTATGGAATGTTTTTTAAAAATGTATTGCACAGGGCCCTCTCTACGTTAGTTCCGCTACTGGAGCTCAGCAAGGGTGTAGAGTTGTACAGGGGTCACGGTGAAAGCATAATCAATTACTTCAGTGGTTGGAATAGATAGACAGACAGATAGATAGATAGATAGATAGATAGATAGATAGATAGATCTGAAGTCTCACAGAGTCTGAAATGCTGTAGAGAATCAAGAGTATGATTACAAGGAAGTAACAATTACAAAGTATGAGGAAGAAGGCATTTCGCTTGCAACAATAGACCAGCTGAGCAATGTTTGCTTGGAGTCTGGGTATTTCCCTCACTCCTTTGCAGCACACACAGGGCCGGACTGGGAACTAAAAGCAGCCCTGGAAATAATTCTACACCAGCTCAATAATTCATCGCGCCAGCATAGTGTGCAGATATAGAGGTGGAAAAGATAACTTAATATTGAAAACTATTACTCCAATGTGAAAGAAAGCACTCATAGGGCTTCAAAATAAACAACACAATGAATTTTGTTAAAGCAGAAGTGCATTTGCATATAATCAATGTTTCACACCAACTATCTTGATACATTAAGGAAAGTTTGGTAATGGGACTGAAATGGTGGATGTATGCTGTAACACAGCTCTAAAAAATTATTTTAACTTGTTTATTTTGAAGTCATATATTGTGCTTTTCACTTTGGATATATTATTGTGCTGGAGTGTGCACCCAGCAATAAGACTGGGCCCACATGTGCTCATTAAATATATATTCTATATTAAGAAAATGTCTGTGTGTATTATGCATATTTATACATGTATATTAATATATCTGTAAATATTATTGGCATAATTATACAGTTGTGCTCAAAAGTTTGCATACCCTGACAGAAATTGTGAAAATTTGGCATTGATTTTTAAAATATGACTGATAATGCAAAAAAAAGTGTTTTATTGAAGGATAGTGGCCATATGAAGCCATTTTTTCCATTTAAAAACAAATAAGTGAACAGCGCTAGATATAAAGGTTACATACGTCAGGAGAGAGAGTACAAATCCAAGGGTGTGTATCTTAAAAAATAGAAAAGACACAATAATAGTGCAATAACCCTACCCTAACCCT